AAATAGCACATCTGGTCCTCCATATTTTGTACAATGAGCATTTAGATCCCAAAACTCAAGATTCATTCATTTAGGTCCACAAGATGCGCCTTCCTCTTGCAATTTAGTCCCTAAAATTTCAGAAGATGTATATTTAAACCCAAAACTTCTATTCTTATGCATTCACGTCCTTTTCTCTTTTAGACAATTTTTTGGTGCTAATAGCCAATCTGTCAATGAGCATGACCAGTTCTTGCTCTTTGCTTTCAACCATTCCCACAAATCATGTTATAATTGAACCAATATTTGTAAAAGGCAAGAATACCATGTCATTATAAAAATTGATTAACTAAAGAGAAATCAATTTATTAATTAATTAATTTTAAGGATTTGATAGTAATTGTATTGTCATTAATAGAAGATTTATAATTAATTGTTATTTCTTTATATTATGTATTCTTCACTTTATAAATAAGGTTGCTCATATTTAACAAAGGAATGAAAGTGAAATAAATCGTGGATTAAGGGTCTTGATGCATCATGATGTCATAATATTATCTCGAACCACATAATATCATGTCATTGCTATGTTATCATAAAATTTCTACTATTAGAAATCTCCTCACTATATTAGAAACTTCTTCATTCTCAACGTTCATGCAACATTCAACATCCCATGTGCGAGACAATGACAACTATGAAATTTGTAAACAAAAGTACTTTCTTTGAATCCAACCTAAATAAGTAATGCTGTAGAAAGCTATTCGGACGACCTTATAGCTTAATCAAGAACTTGTAAGTCTAGCACGACTTGATCCAACTTTACACGGAATAACTTTTCATCTTTTCCAAACTTCATTTAGTTATAATTTGAATAAGAGAATTCTAATATTAAACACAAATTCTTAACCATTGCAACATTTGACATCCCATGTGTGACATAAATGTTGGGAAGAATGAGGTGTCACTTGAGCACAGCGAAAACAAAAGCAACACCAAAATCTTCCTCAGTCTGTCTGAAATTATTCGGAGCAAGCTAAGTTGAATCCAAATAAAATTATGGTAGCAACTAAAATATGCAAGATAGTAAATATGGTTAAGGCAAAATAATCACCATAAAAGACACTAGGGGTGTTCATATCCGATCCAATCCGATTGATCCAACCTAAATTGATCCAATCCGATTAAAAACCAAACCAAACCGATATAAAATTGGGTTGGTTTGGATTATAAAAATTTAAAACTGATATAATTGGTTTGGTTTGTGGTTTTACTTTC